GACACCTGCAATTGAATATGGAAGACACCAATGGCGCTTCTTGGGGTAGGCATGCCTGCCTAGATGAACGTATAACTAGTTTATACATTTCATAATAAACACTCCGCAGCATTACAATTACTTTCTTTATACTACATGACGCGAGTAGCAAGAAAGTTAAAATTAGAATGATGTTACAATTGTCTATACCAGAGTAAAGATCCGAAATTATCATGTAAGAAAATTCTTCAAACATATGAATGAATTAAAAAACCCAATCGTTTTTCTGACACCCAAAACCATTTATAATTCCCGATCTGTTGTAATACTACCAATTCTGCCATCCCCGCTGACTTTCTAAATTGGCTGAGAGGTGAGAAAACCCCGATACACCAAATGTATTTTCTTTTACTGAGAATCCAGTTCAGCTCTCACACCTTATAAGTCCCTGGAGAGGAAAACGTCAAAATATCGAAAGTAAGCACAACTTAAAACCCAATTTAAGCATATTATGTCTAATTGAAACTATTGTGGATATTCCAAGATATATATTCATGAGCCGCAATAAACACTCAAAAACGCTTTTAATTAGTTTTTCTTTTCTGTCCCCCCCCCAAAAAAAGCAACGCCCAGGAAACATGAAAATTGTTTATTATTTAGGAAAAGGAAGGAATATATTTGTCAGAAGACAATGTAGAAAGAAAAAACACAGAAATAAAAAAGCTCTCAATTTACATAATTGTTCTGGCACAAGCGCGCTAATTTCACGAGAACTACTTCATTTCTTCGGAAAAAATTGAATGTGAACCTATTTAAAGATCCGTTTTTGAGGAACAGAATTTCATAAGGGAAAATTATTAGTTTTCAAAAAGTTGTTAGGTTGCACTTTTGTTATTTTCACAATTTTTGGGATTTCAACGAAAACTGCCCCATTTAAGCTATCCAAGGGCAAAGTCTGATCAAAAACATTTGGCTGACATTTTGAGAAATTTTGAGAACTTAATGTAAAGCACCATCAAAAATCACAATATCAATTGAAACTCCCAAATACTCGACTTCATCATATAGACCCGGGGAATAAAAAATTTGGTGAACTGTTTAGCGTGACCGTTGACCGCAAAAGGGCAGTTCGGAGTTATGGCCATCAATCGATTTTTCGATTAGCAAGGATTCTCCAAAACATGGAATCTAGGCACACCACATTAGAGAATTTGGTTTTGTTTCTTCTGTATTAGGCAAAACAGGATTTATTCGCTACTTTCGTTACCATGCACATCAATAGACGTTTTTTTCAATCGAAAATTCGCCCCCATTTTTTTTTTTTTTTTTCTTTCGGTTGCACCGATTATAAAATTCTTAGGAAAGTACCTTTCGTAAGTCGATTTAAAACGGAAACAAAAAAAAATACATTTGTGTTTCCAGAATTAAAAAAAAAGGTTTTAAACAATTTAAATATACTCAGTTTTTTCACTTTTTTTATATTCATTCATTAAAGTTGTATTTATGGGAGCTCAAAGTGACTAGAAAACTGTTGCAAAAAGTGTCTGACTCGATTCAACAGTTAAAGAAAAGCTGTAAAAGAATGTTTCATTTACCATTCGGCCACCCCTTGTCCGTCGATGGGTGACCGATGGTACAAACATTTGCAAAAACTACAATATGTGAGATTTTCTTCTTACTGAAATTTCGTTAAATAAAATAGCTTTGAATAAGGTCAACTAAGAGATTTTTTTGAAAAGTCGAGTCACAGCTTTTATAGTCTCGTTTCATTTTGCTTGCCCGTAAAGGTTGGGATCTTTTTAGATTCTTCCCTTTCTCTCAAAAACAAACTCATTTTTTTCCTCAGAATACAGCAAATGTATGGTTAAAAATGTCACAGGTATGATTTTCACGTACTCTTGTGCGAATTTGAAAAAATTGCATGTTAAACGAATGCAGGAAAGTATTTACAGTTGCACCACCACTTAGTTTCAAAAGGAACTCTATAAATTTCAGTAATGCTCGTGATGAGACATTGAAATGATGAGATCATTTACAAATGTGTATTTCATGTTACAACATCAATATTTTGAGAAAAATGGTTTTTAAGTCCCACAGCCATGTTTAAACATTACCCATTAACCAAGATAGATATTAAATAATGGATTCTCATCAACATCAGTAAAACCACTTAATGACAAAATGTCTGTTTACGTACCATGAATCCATCATACTATTTTAATTTAATAGGTTAATATTTTTATTTTAGTATTAGGACTACAAAAGAATTATTCAGCAAATGCCTGGAAAATTGTGTGTGTAGATACATATTTTTCCAATAGCCATTATCGTATTAGGCAGTTGTTTCATCATACATTGAATGTTCTTGAGAATGTTTATTATCAAGCTAGTCAAGTTTGTTAATGTGCAGCCTGCTCATTATTTGTGCAACACATTTTTTGTTACGTCTTTGGAATTAAATTCCTAAAAATGAAAGTCAGATTTGGATGTTAACATATGTGATTGTTCGACTAAGGAGAGTGATTGCACAAATTAGAATATTAACCTCAGGTTGGGGGGAAGATATAAAGTTATTGGAAAGGAATGAGGCGGATCACATAAAAATTGCTTAATGGAAACTGTGTGTATGTTTTGAATGGCCCAAGACAGGCCCTTAAACAGAACCAGGACCCCATGAAGATACAGATTGAGCTCACAGCTTTCTAAGTAATTGTGCAATACTGAGCAATTAACTGCTCAGGTATTCATATTACCCTTCCACTGGCCATGTCATACGTAATTGTTTTAAAAATAAAAAGAGATAGTGTGTGCGCGCGCGCGCGAGCGAGCGAGAGAGAGAGAGTGTGTGCGCGCGAGAGAGTGTGTGCGCGCGCGAGAGAGTGTGTGCGCGCGAGAGAGAGAGTGTGTGCGCGCGAGAGAGAGAGTGTGCGCGCGAGAGTGTGTGCGCGCGAGAGAGTGTGCGCGCGCGAGAGAGAGTGTGTGCGCGAGAGAGTGTGTGCGCGCGAGAGAGAGTGTGTGCGCGCGAGAGTGTGTGCGCGCGAGAGAGAGTGCGCGCGAGAGTGTGCGCGCGAGAGACTGTGCGCACGAGAGACTGTGCGCGCGAGAGACTGCGCGCGAGAGAGAGTGTGTGCGCGAGAGAGTGTGCGCGCGAGAGATAGTGTGTGCGCGCGCGCGCGAGCGAAGCGAGAGAAGAGGAGATGTGTGCGCGCGCGCGAGAGTGTAGCGGCGCAGCGCGCGAGAGTGTTGTTGCGCTGCGCGCGAGAGTGTGTGCGCCGCGCGCGAGGAGTGTGTGCGCGCGCGAGAGAGTGTGTGCGCGCGAGAGAGAGTGTGTGCGCGCAGAGAGAGAGTGTGTGCGCGCGCGCGAGACGAGGAGGTGTGTGCGCGCGCGAGAGAGAGAGTGTGTAGCGCGCCGAGAGAGAGAGAGTGTCGGTGGCGCGAGAGAAGAGAGAGAGTGTGTGCGAGAGAGAAGGAGAGTAGTGTGCGAGAGAGAGAGGAGTGTTGCGCGCGAGAGAGAGAGTGGTGCGCGCGAGAGAGAGAGTGTGTGCGCGCGAGAGAGAGAGAGTGTGTGCGAGAGAGAGAGAGAGTGTGTGCGCGAGAGAGAGAGTGTGTGCGCGAGAGAGAGAGTGTGTGCGCGAGAGAGAGAGTGTGTGCGCGCGAGAGAGAGTGTGTGCGCGCGAGAGAGTGTGCGCGCGAGAGAGAGTGTGTGTGCGCGCGAGAGTGTGTGCGCGCGAGAGAGAGTGCGCGCGCGCGAGAGTGTGTGTGTGAGCGAGAGAGCGTCTGTGCGTTTTTTTGTCTGACTGTCTCTCGCTCTCTCTGCCTGTTTTAAACAAAACCAAAAAAAATGTTCCTTCACATTCCTACTAGTTTTGCCTTATCAAATTTGCCTAAGGTTTTAACTGAAAATAAAAATGCAAAAATGGAACAAAATACACATAAACAGAAGAGGGGATTTGACAAATACAAAAGAGAATTTGCAAAACAAGATTCTTGGAAATACTGAGAACAAGTGCTGACAAATATGATTTCAATAAATTATCTATTAAAATTATAGATATTTCTGAGCATACTTTTTTTGGGCCTTCAATAAGCATGCACTGATTTTCAGTACGTCCCAGTTTTTGACATTTATGTCAAAATGTATTATTCTCATAATATTCAATATTCAGAACTGTACCACAGACCATTAGTCAAGAATTTCTGGCATGGGAAAGGAATTGCATTGCATCTTGGACACACAACAGAAAACGTTGACACATTAGGGCACAATTATTAACAAGAATCAATTTTAAACAGATTAAATAACTTGTAAGAAAAAATGAAACACAGATACACTATAGAAACCATATTACATAACATTTCTTCGTAACATATTCACTATGAACTCATGAAATACAAGGTGAGTGGTTCCATACAAGAAAAAAGAAAAAGATAGAAAAAATATGCACAGTCTCCTCCTCTATAAGACAAATATGTTTTCTACGTCATCTTGCTGAGAAACACTTTGTTGGAGGAAGGTTGGGATAGGAAGAAAATTCGGTAATACAGAAGGGAATGTTTTCACGTAGCATCAAATGAAAGACAAACACAAATTCAACACACACACAACATTTAACAGGGCCTAAAATGGAGGGTAACATATGAGAGATCAAAAAGAAAGAAGCATGATGTGAGTGAAGATGGTGGCAAAAATCATGATTATAATAATTTTAAGGAATAAGAAAATAGTAACAGTAGGATTTAACATTCTCTTCAACAAGACACTTTTGTAGTCAATTAGCCTATTTGAAATTCTATTTTGACTAAATTATAATAAGTAATTCAATATTTTAAAAATTTTCAGGAGGCCTCTTCAAAATTTCATTTTATAGCAGTCGACTAATATTCAGATAAATATGATACTTTTTGTCATATTTAAGAGGTTTCACATTGACACAAAAAGTATTTCTAAAAACATGATGATCACAAAGACAGTAAGTTAAAAAATATTAATAAATAGTTTTAGAAATTGATTTTTTAAGAACCTTTGTTCTGATTGATGGATAGCATCAAATACAGGACCACCAAATTCCCTGGTAACGAATATCGTATCACAAGATCCATCATTTAGAAATTCACTTCCAGTCTCAGAGAATACTATTGGAACATCAAATGTCTGCAAAATAATGAAGAAATTATTTAACAACCACAAAGGAATGATAATTAAATAACATTAATTCAGTATTTCTTGGACATAAAATATTATTTACCTTTGCAGCTTCCACAATTCTGTCATCATTTTGAAGATCTCCAATAAGACATATTCGAGTCTTAACACAAGAACGATCTACAAGAAACAAAAGATTACAAAACATTATTAACTTATTAAAATAATATTATTTATTAACTACAAGAAGGACTAAACTAAGATATTCAAATTATTAAATTCTTCTTCACTATAGAATTAAAATACCAAAAGCCCTTTAAATAAAATGTTTCTCATTTTCAACAACACAAATAAAATATAAATGGTCAGCCTGATGAATTGGAATACAATTTGAGAATGAAATGACAATTTTTGCATGGTTCCTTCTGGCAGTTTGTAGAGTCAAACAACAGTATTTGCCAGTCGTATTTTAAGAGAATGTTATAGACAGATTTCCTTCAAATTGCATGCAATATTTCATTTTAATCTACAGTTACAAAAATTTAGAGATTGACCAGCAGTCCCTGGGTCAGAATAACTTTTAACACAGTGATATTTTGAGTTAATTCAAAGGTTTAAATAGTGTTCACACATTGGTGCTCGTAGTGCCCTTGAAGTATTAAAAATGGATGTTCCCTGAAACTTACATTAATACACCTTTCTCAATAAAGGTTAAGTTTTTTTACATAAGTATTGTTCACTAACTTTCAATTTACTTTGCAAGATGTGATTTATTAATTAACATTAAAATTTAAAATTCTGTTAGGATACTTGTGACATGAAAAAGATGTTCTACAATGCTAACTATTAATGAAAGAACTACACGATAATCATATCAATGCTTATTAGCTGACAGAGTAATAAGTATTACACAATTTTTAACACCATCATAAAAACAAACATTTAAAATCATTTTAATATAATCAGTCACAAAAAAACTATTTTTAATTTAAGCTTTCTTATCCTATTTCATTAGAAAGCAGTTGAGGAAATTTTGAAGGGATTTTCAAAAACATGATTCATTTAATTTCTTAATGTGTGTTGCAAGTCTATTGTATAATTGTAAGGCATTCTGATTTGTTCCTTCCTGATCCTTGTTCAAAAGGGATTTAGCAGAATACTTTTTGGGATGATTTACATATCCTCATGTATTATAATATAATTGCATGTTTTATGTACAGGGTAAATTAGTTTCTTTTTTTAGTACAATTACTCTGAAAGAAGCAATCACAGCAGTTTTAATTTTTTACAAGAAGTCCTATATGATTGATTATTATTTAGACTGAACACTTCGAAGATCCCTTTTTTTGCAGTATTAACACTGGAGACTGTAATTTAGGCAAAATATCTTTGAGTCATATAAATTATCTATTATTTTTTATACAAATGTCAAAGAATGAAATATTTGCAAGTAAGCAGTGACAATAAAAGATAATGAAATATTTGCTAATCCTTGAAGTCAAAAAGGGCAGATTTCATTTATTTCTTTGCTCATAACATTTCTCATTGATGGCAAAGGATATTAAGATAAGAAAAAATATTCTTGTCAGCAATTTAGTTGCTTGTTTTAACGGGCTGCCAAAACAACAATTTCAGTTCCTGTCACCACTTGACTTACAAAAAGGGGGCACCTCTAGTAATCACTGAAAAGGTGATTTATTTCCATGGAAAAAGGATTTTAAAACATGTAAGAGTGGTTTGCCAAAAATTCTAATTTACAAAAATTTTTAAAGATACTCCAAAAATTCAGTTTCAGCAGAAATGGATCCCTCTACCCTCTAAAAGATTTAGATTTTTCCAATAACCGCTGTCAAAGTTAAGAGAACTGTCTGGGAGAGGACACTATTTAATCTCGGAAAAGTTAATACTCATAACATGTCTTTGTTGTTTAAAGTAATTAAAAATGTTTGAAACTTAAAATATTGTCTCTTCATGCTAGTTTTTTGTCTTATTTTTAATAAAACTAATGGAATCCATATTATATAGTTATGTTAAACTGTAATCATAAATTTGTTATTATTAATAAGAATGGATTTTGTTTAACCTCTTTACCTCATTTTTGCAGTTTAAAATACCATTTTTACCTTTTCAGAGATTTATAGTTTCTAAAGTTCAGGTCTTTAGTTATAACTCATGTTTCTTATATGTTTTTCCCCTTATTTCTACACAATACTGAAAATGTGGGAGAATAATTCCATTGTACATGGTTATACACATTTTAACTGTCGGTTACTGTGAAAAGATTTCACAGAAAATTGGGAAAGATTTTTGGATTCTATAAGGAAACTTCATTAATTGTTAGATTTTCGTCTCTAAAAATGTCAAACATTTATTACTTTGTAATTATTGTATTGATTGTTTACACAAATACTTACACTGTTATCACAATCCAAACACAATTAACACAAATATTATATTTTCTTTAGTAAACTTGTGATATTAAATTTTCTTTTAATTATATTAGATCTTTGTTCTTACTAATTAAAGTTGTTATCAGCTTACAGCAAATTTAAATTTAATTTTATCTTCTTTTAACTTCTGAAGGTTTGCATTTTTTCAGCATTGCTGTCATAACTTTATCTCTGCCTTAATATTATCCCCTGTGTCAATCAACTTTCCAATTTCTATAGCTTCTTACTGTCTAGGCATTATGATGGCAAGTTGATCATTTAAGAGCCCCATTTCACCTTTTATTTTCACTGCCTGTACTTAGAAAATAATTATTGAAATTATTTAAATTCTAATTTATCTAATTTTTCATTATAATTTCATTGTATTAAATTATCTTCAATTCTGGTTTGGAATGCATACTGTCCCGCTTTTATGGTACCAATACTTTTATATTTTTGTGTTTGAGGTTTTCTTGTATTATTTATATTATTTCTTAGAACTTTGGATAGATACTTTGCATTTTCTATTGCGCACGTCATCTAAATATTGTCATAACATAGAGAATGCCATTTTGAGGACTTTTTCATCTACATACAATGCTAAATTAATAGGAACTGTCACACGCTCCATCTAGTGGCATTTACTGCATTACAGTTACAGTGTATTTTATTTCTTAAAATATAAAGAATTAAAAACTGAAGCTGTTGGTGCATTTATCTCAAAATCTTCCTTTTTTAGGTTGAGAGTTGTTTTAGAGGATATGTGTTTTATTCTACTTCCCTTTGCGAATCTTATTCGTTACCAAATAACTTCTCATATCTGTTATGGGGTACATTTATATAACATGAATGATTCTTTAATTTTTATCTCATTTTAATGACAATTTTTTTGGTAACAACCACTTTTTTTTATTTGGACATGTGGAACACAAGTCCTAATGTGGCTTTGTCAGAGCACACCACAAAATTCATTGTTTGAATTTTGTTCAGTGTTATGCTCGGTCTATTCTTTTAATTTAAGTTATTTGTTAAATTGTGAATGGTTTCTGTGCGCATAATTTCTGATAAATTAAAACTGAATATTATAATTGTAAAGAATATGTGGTCATCTGTTATTTCATGATTATAGCTAAAAATATAGTGACCTATTCTTCACAATTTGAAATTCAGCTTTGAATTATAAAATGAAATATTAAACAAAGTATGACATACCTTGAGTCCAGAATTGTTTTGTCAATTTTAACAGTCTTTTTTACAATCCTAGACCCAAGGCGTATCATAATTTCTTTTTTATTTTTGTTTTATTTTATGATGTTCTATAAATTTTTTCTACCTTCAAGACCTGATTGTATCAAGTTTTGTAGTTATTTTTAATACAATTTTTAAAATGCCCAAGAGAGAATGGAAGTGCTAACACAAAATAAGTTACTGAAAAATAATATTAATGTGTCTGTTTTGAAGGAAAGTTCAGACTATTTTTAACAATAATTATCTTTGAAAGATTTATAGTTAAGTATATCAATTATTTGTCCTTTTTGATCTGAAGCAAGAAGGCTCTAACAGACCCACTTTTTTCCAAGCACTCTACCCAAAACACCTTAAAATCAAGAAACTACTCATTTGATTAAGAATTAATGAAGAATGAATATATTTATGTTTGAGTAGCTCCACACAGCTTGCTTACAATAATCTTTAATCTACAAGAAAAATTGTATCAATCCAACACAAAAATTAGCAAAGCTACAATATAGAATAATGTGCAAAGAAAGGAACTGCCGTAATTTTCTAAATATACACACAAAACATGACAAGATAATACATGTCAGTATGCTAACTGGAGCCAAAAGATGATCAAGAAGTTCTTACTAGGTAGAGCAGACTACAATTCCAGCAAAAGTAAACAACATGCTTGTGTTTATCCAACACATTATATAATCCATTGTTTACACAGTTCACTAATTTTTTTTTCCTGAATTCGAGTTGAATCAAGACATTGCATTTCAAATTATGTTGAAAAGATCTACATAACCCCTCAAAGAAATATTTCAAGCATTTATGTGACACACAATCCGATGACGTACATGGCAACGATATGAGAAAAATCTATAAACACACTTACGTTGCACAAATACGTTATCTTCATTATTTGATTCGCCAGTGTCATTCGTATCATTTGTTTCTGAAGTACTAAAACATATACTTGACTCCTCCATCTTGTTCCACAACTTCGAGCAAGTTTCTTCAAAATACAGCAGGCATTTTACAAATTGTGTGTCAGTTAATGATAACGAATAAAATATTCCAGCACATTTCCACACATCGAAATAAAAAATGGCACACTCATTTCACATCCACACAACTATTTACACAATCAAATTAACCATTCCAAACCTAACTTCTCGTTGAAAAACAAAAAACGCACGAACCAAACAATGCTTCCGACCCGACACCCGTAGCGCTACATGTTTTGATTTCAAAGCTAACCCCATTCCAGTGTAGCCACATTGACAAAACATGTAGTCCTTCAATTTACAATATTTCTCTTCTACTATCTAGGAATTATCACGAACTATAGGTTACTGGTTCCTACCACTTGGATCGCTATAACCGACAGAAAATTGCAAGATTGTAAAATTCCGACCACTCATCATTTTAAATAACTCCTACGACTTTGAAACGAATCTCAAATTTTATTATTATTTGCTGAAGCGCGCACAGATGTGGATACTTACTTACTTTCTCCCAACGGAATAGAGAAACGAAAAAGTGGATATATCCTGTTGCTAAATTTATTTTAAAAAAGTCTCTAACACGTGGTGTATCCAGAATCCATATTATGTGGGTACTTAATACCAGAAAATGGAATGACAAACCGTCTGTGAACAAACCGTTCAGCGCAAATCGTGCGGCCAAACCGTTCAGCCGATTTTCTCCAAAATTGATATTCCATAATTGATCTGGCTGGTGTCGCAGCCCCTTGAATTTGAAACTCATATTTTAATTTTGGAGAGTAATTTACTTGACACCAGGGGCACTTTGAAAATTTTCAAAAAAATGGCTCCTTCGTTTTGATTAAATTTTGTTGGACAGTATAAAGGACGTTTAGGAGAATGGTGCAGGTATCATGTTCGTTGAAAATCCTTAATTTTTCGAAAATTGCAAATGTTCAATTTTTTTTGGAGTTTTCTTTCATCTAAATATTAAAGATAGAGATTTTCCCCATAATGAAATCTGTTTCTTAAAGATAGTTTTGAAATAAAGTCATGTGAAATTTTTCGAAAATTTGAGTACTTTTCACGTATGAGAAAGTACGTGCTGTTTTCTCATCATTAGCCTTTGCATGTTATTTTTTAGGTCTAGGCTATTATGTTCCCAGATTTCCAGCACAAATGGGCGTACTTATTGATCGTTTTCTCCTTTTCCTGCACCATCCTTTAATGCGGGGGGTAATTACTAAATGGTCCTAGGGCATTTTGTAAAATATCTGAATGCGGCTCCAGATATTTTTCGTGTTTTTTTTTTTTTTTATATCATAACAAACGATACAGATTCGGCTCACATTCGAGATCATGGAACGGCGTCGCGCCAGCGCAATGTAGTCATTACTCAAAGGGACTATTCTATAACGAATTGTGATGTAGTTTTCATTTTGAGCTCCTTTATGGTTTAAGGTGCTGATTTTGAATCTAAAGTTCGGTAAAAAAAGTTTCCGTTAGAATTTGAATTATAGCAAAAAACACGAAAAAATTGTTTTTGCTTGTATCTAAAAAAAAATACACTGCCGAAATGTTCTGCATGCAATTTTCTATAATTTAGATACAACTTCTTTCCTTACGCACAGAGGCGTATCTAAACATTCAGGCACCTATGGCAAGCATAGAATTTGCCATAGATATATACCCTATCAGAATACTTCCAATTAATGTTGCTATTTTAGAGGATGTTCACTAAATAGCGCCCCTTGTGAGTGGCGCCCATGGCACGTGCCATATCTGCCATACCGTAGGTACTCCTCTGGTTACGCGTATCGTTTAGGAATAATTGAGATTTGTCAAATTTTTGCTCAACCTACTTTTAGTTCGGCTGCCTATTGGAATGGCTAATAAGAAACCTGCGTGATCAGTATACCTACCTATTTGCATTGTTAATAATTGCCCGTCTTAGTTAATTATCTTTTTCTTACCACTGTATTCTTTACTAATACCAAGCATAAAAAGGCATAGAAAAGTGCATGGAAAAGAAAGTATTCCAAGAAGTCGATTGTTTATTAGCATTTCTAGGCTCGAAAATGGCAGCTGTAGGAAGGTTAGACTGTTTTGTTGTGCTATGCCTTAATTATTGAGACACCTGCAATAATATGAAGACACCAATGGCGGCTTCTTGGGGTAGGCACTGCCTGCCTAGATGAACGTATACTAGTTTAATACATTTCATAATAAAACATCCGCAGCATTACAATACTTTCTTTATACTACATACGCAGTAGCAAGAAAGTAAAATTAAATGACTGTTACAATTGTCTATACAGAGGTAAAAGATCGAAATTATCATGTAAGGAAATTCTTCAACATATAATGAATTAAAAACAATTCGTCTTTCTGACACAAAACATTTATAATTCCGATCTGTTGTAACTTACAATTTCTGCCTCCCTGACTTCTAAATTGGCTGAGAATGAGAAACGATACACAAATGTATTTTCTTTTATAGAATCAGTTTCGCTCTCACACCTTATAAGTCTGGAGAGGAAACGTCAAAATATCGAAAGTAAGCCCTTAAAACAATTTTAAGCATATTATGTCTAATGAACTATTTGGATATTCCAAGATATATATCATGAGCCGCAATAAACACTCAAAAACGCTTTTAATTATTTTTCTTTTCTGTCCCCCCCCCCCAAAAAAAGCAAACGCCCCAGAAACATGAAAATTGTTTATTATTTAGAAAAGGAATGAATATATTTGTTCAGAAGACAATTAGAAAGAAAACACAGAAATAAAAAAGCTCTCAATTTACATAATTTGTCTGCACAAGCGCCTAATTTCACGAGAACTACTCATTTCTTCGGAAAAAATGAATGTGAACCTATTTAAAGATCCGTTTTTGAGGAACAGATTTCATTAAGGGAAAATATTTATTTTCAAAGTTGTAGGTTGCACTTTTGTTATTTTCACAATTTTGGGATTTCAACGAACTGCCCCATTTAAGCTATCCAAGGGCAAAGTCTGATCAAAAACATTGGTGACATTTTTGAGAAAATTTTGAGACTTAATGTAAAGCACCATCAAAAATCACAATATCAATTTGAAACTCCCAAATACTCGACTTCATTCATATAGACCGGGGAATAAAAATTTGGTGAACTGTTTAGCGTTACCGTTGACCGCAAAAGGGCAGTTCGGAGTTATGCCATCAATCGATTTTTCGATAGCAAGGATTCTCCAAACATGGAATCTAGGCACACCACATTAGAGAATTTTTTTGTTCTTCTGTATTTAGCAACAGGATTTATTCGCTCTTTCGTTACCATGGCACATCAATAGGAGTTTTTCAATCGAAAATTCGCCATCTTTCGGTGCACGATTATAAAACTTCTTAGGAAGTACCTTCGTAAGGTCCGATAAACGTAAACAAAAAATACATTTGTGTTCAGTAATAAAAAAAAAGGTTTTAACAATTTAAAATATACTCAGTTTTCACTTTTGTTATATTCATTCATTTAAAGTTGTATTTATGAGCTCAAAGTGACTAGAAAATGTTGCAAAAAGTGTCTGACTCGTTCAATCATTAAAAAAGCTGTAAAAGAATGTTTCATACCATCGGCACCCCTTTCCGTCGATGGGGTGCCGATGGTACAAACATTGCAAAACTACAATAATGTTGGAGATTTTCTTCTTACTGAAATTTGTTATAATAAAATAGCTTTGAATAAGGTCACATGAGATTTTTTGAAAAGTCGAGTACCAGCTATTATAGTCCTCGTTTCATTTTTGCTTGCCGTAAAGGTTGGGGTATCTTTTTAGATTCTTCCCTTTCTCTCAAAAACAACTCATTTTTTTCCTCAGATACAGCAAATTATGGTTAAAAATGTCACAGGTATGATTTTCACTACTCTTGTGGAATTTGAAAAATTGCAATGTTAAACGAATGCAGGAAAGTATTTACAGTTGCACCACCACTAGTTTCAAAAGGAACTCTATAAATTTCAGTAGCTCGTGATGAGCATGAAATGATGAGATCATACAAATGTGTATTTCATGTTACACATCAATATTTTTGAGAAAAATGGTTTTTAAGTCCCACAGTCCATTTAACATTACCCATTAACAAGATAATATTAATAATGGATTCTCATCGATACAATCAGTAAACCACTAATGACAAAATGTCTGTTTACTGTACCAATGAATCCATCATACTATTTTAATTTAATAGGTTAATATTTTTATTTTTTAGTATTAGACTACAAAGAATTATTTCAGCAAATGCTGGAAAATTTGTGTGTAGATACATATTTTTCAATAGCCATTATCGTATTAGGCAGTTGTTCATTCATACATGAATGTTCTGAAATGTTTATTATCAAGCTAGTCAAGTTTGTAATGTGCATCCTGCTCATTTATTTGTGCAAACATTTTTTGTACTTTTGGAATTAAATTCCTAAAAATGAAGTCAGATTTGATGTACAATGTATTGTCACTAAGGAGAGTGATTGCAAATTAGAATATTAACCTCAGGTTGGGGGAAGATATAAAGTTATTGGAAAGAATGAGGCGGAGTCACATAAAAATTCTTAATGGAACTGTGTATTTTTTGAATGGCCCAAGACAGCCCTTAACAGAACCAGGACCCCTGAAATACAGATTGACTCACAGCTTCTAAGTAATTGTGCAATACTGAGCAATTAACTGCTCAGGTTTCCATATTACCTTCACTGGCCATGCATACTTAATTGTTTTAAAAATAAAATTTATGATTTACCCCTTATAACTATGTTCAGAAAGAATTAAGGTCACAGAACGAAAAACAAGAATTTTCAAACACTTTTCAACAATAACAATGTAAGTTAAATAACAGCAAATAATCTAAATTTGAAATATTACAGTGCAAAATAAACATGAGTTCTGCGTGAACTAAAGATTACTGCTGAGGCACAGGAAACAGAAGACCTTTTGACCAGGCATTAAAGATACAAGTCAGCTTCACTTGCACTTCCATTATATTATGGCAAAGAAGCATCTCTTTTGTTACATTTCAGACAATTTGCACATTTCATGAATGTTTTGTAAATAAATTGAATGATTTTGAACTACATTTTCACCCTAATGTGTGGACTGATTTCAAATTCTTATTAAAAAAACATGAAGTGATAGAAACTACCATAAATTTGGATCATAAGCTCTCGGTTTACACTACTTTCCTAGAAATCTTCATTTCATCATACACGTGTTTTATCTCAAGTTATAAAAAAATATTTCAGTACATGTACAAAAAATCGTATATTTCCGCTCTCCACAATGTATGCCATCTAACCATATGTTAGATGGCATACATTGTGGATATGTTCCATCAAGAAGCCAGACCCTTGTGACCCAACACTAGATTGACCTATGCCTAGGCACCCCCTGGTATTTAATAAAATTCATCCCAACTAAAGTTAGCTTCCAATGTTCTCCAAAAACACCAAGTAACTTTTGGATTGGAAAAATTGCACCTACCAGTCCTGATCAAACTTCAGTTTGACAACTTAAGTATTTTGCTACACATGTGGAAAATAAAGTCCTCAAGTCAAAACAGGGATATTTAATATTTCACAAACGTTTACATTTCAGAAAAAACAAGCAAGTCCTTGTATTCAGTATGAACCTAAGATTTAAAATTCACATCTAAATGCTACAATTTCAGAATTTCAGTTTCTAGTACGTTACCATTTAAAAATATTCCAAAACTTAAAAGCCTAACAAAGATCCTATCAGAGCAATCTTAACTTACATTTGTGCAAGCTCTTTACATTATCTTCAAAATTTATGCAGGGAAAAATTTGATAATTTTGCAGAAAATTTCTTTGTATGAATGGATTTAGGTACAAGGAAAATAATTAACAATTCCTCTGTATTGGCCCTTTTATTCAGATACCTTCAAGATATTTACAGAAGCTGTTACACTGAACATATACTTTAACTTCTGAAAACGCTGATAACGAAAAAGGAATGAAAATTAAAAACAGTCCCTTTCTCTCCATAAATCAAGATTAAATAAAAATCTTCCATCCATGGTATGTAACTTACATTCTTCAATTGTTTTAATACACTTAAGTAACAAATCACGGCCAGGCTAAAAGAATTCTGAATAGCCCGCCTTTCCTCCTGAATTCTTTGCGATGGAAACAATGCTTCAGCAGCCATTTGGAAAGAAAGAGAAGGCAGCTCATATTCAAAAAGCGGAGATGGATGATAGGCGGTGCAGAGAGCTGCGTTGATACCGCCACAGACAGACCAACAAACACATCTAGTTATTTCTTCTTCTGGGCCTTCTCAGCAGCCTTTGTTACCTTACCAGTAGTGACATCCTTAGCAGTCACACTCTGCAAAATTAATTAGCAGAACATTAATAATAAAATATTATTGAAATATGCACTTCAATTTTCACCAAAATTAGTTTCATTGAGACATTACCTTAATTACACCCACAGCCACAGTTTGCCTCATATCACGCACAGCAAACCGTCCCAGAGGAGGAAATTCTTGGAAGGATTCCACACACATGGGTTTTGTGGGAACCAAGTTGACAATGGCAGCATCACCAGATTTGATAGACTTTGGATTATCTTCAGTAGTCTTGCCTAATACACAAATTGGTACATTAATTCAGCATGTGCAGACATAGTACATTTAAGCACCACCAGTACTTTCACATTCAAATACTCACCAGTACGACGGTCGCACTTTTCCTTAATTTCTGCAAATTTGCAGGCAATATGAGCAGTGTGGCAATCCAAAACTGGAGTATAACCATTGGAAATTTGACCAGGATGGTTAAGAACAATGACCTGCAGAAAAATTCACTGTTATTGTATCTAAAATAACCAAATACAGTAGGTAATCCACTACTGCAAATCCACAAACCTGAGCAAGGAAATCAGCAGCACTCTTAGGAGGATTGTTTTTAGAATCTCCAGCAACATAACCACGACGCAATTCCTTAACAGAGACGTTCTTGACGTTGAAACCAACGTTGTCTCCAGGAACAGCTTCTTGGAGAGCTTCATGGTGCATCTCCACAGACTTCACTTCAGTGGTTAGATTGGCTGGGGCAAAAGTCACCACCATACCTGGCTTCAGAACACCAGTTTCAACACGGCCCACGGGCACTGTTCCAATACCACCAATTTTGTATACATCCTGTAGAAAATAAATTATTAGAACAATTTTCCGCATTTATCTTTTTTCAAGTTTTCAGCAACAAAAGACCCACCTGAAGAGGAAGCCTAAGGGGCTTCTCAGTTGGCCTAGAAGGAGGAAGGATGGCATCCAAAGCTTCAATAAGAGTCTTTCCTTCAGCCTTTCCTTCCTTGCGTTCAATATTCCAACCCTTAAACCATCCCATTTTGTCGGAGTGCTCCAACATGTTGTCACCATGCCACCCAGAAATGGGCACAAAAGCAACAGCAGCAGGGTTGTAACCAATCTTCTTAATATAATTGCTAACTTCCTTCTTGATTTCCTCAAAACGAGCCTGAACAAAAAAAATGAAAAATAATATCTGCCAGTTTCTTTTATCTGCATTTACCCATATACGAATTTCCCCTTACCTCGCTGTAGGGAGGCTCTGTAGAATCCATCTTATTAACACCCACAATCAACTGCTTCACACCAAGTGTGAAAGCCAGCAAAGCGTGTTCACGGGTCTGTCCGTTCTTGGAAATACCGGCTTCAAACTCACCAGTACCCGCAGCAACAATCAACACCGCACAGTCAGCCTAAAAAAAAATTACTTTACTAACTGCTGAAAGATTAACTACAATTATTTCAGAAGTGCAGAAATTCTCACCTGGGAAGTGCCAGTGATCATGTTCTTAATGAAATCTCTGTGACCAGGGGCATCAATGATAGTAACATAGTATTTGCTAGTTTCGAATTTCCACAGAGCAATATCAATAGTAATACCACGTTCACGTTCGGCCTTCAGCTTGTCCAACACCCAGGCATACTTGAAAGAACCCTTACCCATCTGAAAATACAAGAAAGCCATCAATTGAAATTTCTTCCGTTTTCCAGTTGCGCTAAGAAAGGGAGTTTCTTTTAAAAATTCTCACCTCCTGGGCTTCCTTCTCGAATTTCTCGATAGTTCTCTTGTCGATACCCCCGCATTTGTAGATAAGATGGCCAGTGGTCGTAGATTTACCGGAGTCGACATGACCGATCACGACGATGTTGATATGAATCTTCTCCTTGCCCATGATGCTAGTTGATTTAGGTAGTCACTAGAACGACTAATGAATGGTTTCCGTTAGTTACAATGAAGTTAGCACGCCACGTGGTAGTACAAATATGAGAAACCAAATAACCAAGTAATTTACAGCCTAAATAATAAAACTGAAAAGTTTTACTAACATCCGCTGTATTTCTTTGAAATTCGGTACCAATTAAATGTATTGTTAAATTAATATTTTACTTCAACTCCTAAATAGACTTCAAGTAAGTTTTAATACTGCGGGTAAAAATCCGAGCCAAAGTAGCGAAAGTATGTTCACTGAAAATACTTCGCATACAAAAAGACTTCCTTCGAAATGAACGGAACTTCGGCGGACATTTTACGAACAGCACTTCACGACCACGTTTACAATCCATATTGTATTCTCGGAATAGGAAAAAGCACAAATGAATACCTCACAATTTCTCTATAAAACCAGCTATTCTACATTTCGAAAATACACTGCACTTTAAATTAACAATAAACTGAAGTTACTACTAAAGCACGCGGCCATAATGACCGGCACAGCGAAGTATTTTGGCTTACAGTCCAAATATCTAAACTTTAAACTAAAAACTAATAACACACGGCACAAGAAATACGAATAAGTTAACTAATTTTAAGGTACCTTTCGATGGATGAACACTTAATAACCAGATAACAGCAAGATTGGCGGACCTCTGTAGAGATTGTGCTACTCACCTCCAGATGCCACGGCAGAAAGAGGACGACAGAACTACCACACATGCGCACCAGGGGAAGTGAACTACACCAACGCCCTCTAGGAGGCCACTCCAATTAGTTTTTCCTAACTCTCTTTCATATATTATCCAATATATGAAATATATAGTATCTAAATTATTTAAATTATTTTTGTATTAATATTTTTCCTTCATTTTAACAGTTTTGCCACTCAGAAGAAAAAATCAATAAATGTAGAATCGTCTTTGGGGCATGTTCCAATATCGGAACAGCCGACGGGTGTGTCTGACGTGTAACTGCGTCACTTCCCGCGGGAAATTTAGAATGTATTAGAAGCACATGGCAAACGAACTGGACATATTCTACTTCATAAATAATATACTTTAGTGTTGTAGTAACAATAGATTCAATTAAATAACAATGAAACTTATATCTATATATAAGTTTGTGTACTTCGAAACGAATTTATTAATTGCAAATTATTGATAGTCATCATTACACCTGTTGCAGTTAGAAAAGTGTCCCTATAAATAATAATATTTTTCCATGTCTTTGTGATCAACCACTGCAACACCATAGATGTTCGTTTCTCTTACAAAACACCAACGTGTTGATATACAGAAATTTAATTCTGCATAAACATAATAATAATAACAACATAGTTGATTAGATCTTCCCTTGAGCAAATTTCTTTAGTGTTATTTTAATATAATTTTTCAGCAATCATAATCTTTAAAATATCAGTTAATATACTTATGCTTGATTTCATTTAATTTCAATATTAACATCACATTTAAGGGAATGATTTGATGGACACTGGCTAAAGTAGAATTTCGCACAAATTACATATCATATGTTTTCAAAATGCTTTTACTTCTCTTCTAGTTTTGTGATATAATTTTTTGTAGTTTATACTGAATTATTTCTAGTTATGCCACTCTTAACAGTAAGGAAAATATATGAAAAATGTAGGTTTGTTGAAAAATTCAATTTGCATTAATAATATGCATTTTATAATTTGCACTCTTAATCTTCACTTATACACTATCATTCTTTTTCCTTCCTTTCTTAATTTCTAAAGCAATCCTTCATATAATATTTGTTGACCATGCAATATTAATTTGTTTACTTAGGATTGTAATAAAAATCAGTTTTCTTTAATGTCACATTCACATTTGCATTTCCACATTTGTTTTTCATTCTCCATAAAATTTAATAACAAATATCCTTTTCTTATGTTCCTTTTAAGTGTCCACCTAAAGAGAAAGATTTGAAAGAAACTGACACTATTTTTTAGATAATTTGAAATGTTGAATTTTGAATAGGAAATCCATTCTACAATGATATATTTCATTATATTGAGCCCTGAATGATCACTATTATCCTAATTTTTCCCTAGCAAAATATTGTTAATGAATATAAGATTGCTGTGAGATGTATAGTTGATACACACACACACTCATACAACATGCAAATATAAGGTATTGCATTCCAGTTTACATTATAATGCTCATTTAAGATTTACATGTTCATTTTCATTCAATGTTCTCTATATCTTGGACAAAAAGCTTTTTGACACTGAAGTAACTGTACATGAAGTACCATAAGGTCTTTGTTTAAATTAAATGTTGAATAAAAAAATTAATGATTTTCCCCTATGTATAATCTGTTTACAGTTATGATTAGGGAAGGAAAGGGTGAAAAACGAATAAAACAAATGAAAATGCGTAGGAACACAACCCTTATCTTATGGATTTTGAGAATCAATGAAATTGTTTTCATTAATTGAAGGTGTAGTGCGCTCCTACCGCAAATTATGCTTGTTCCTCATACTAGTATAAGTTGAATAATACATTATATAGTATAGTATGTTCTTATTTCGTTTCGCGTTATATCGAAGATTAACGAATCTACAATTTCTTTCAAATATCCTTCGCATTGTTTCCACGTTGCTTTCCAGTGCGGTCAATATATTGCGCAACGTGTCGACATTCTGTATACAACCTAAGCAGCATTGTGAAACACTGGAATGCGGGCATCAAGTCCACCACTTGGGTAACGAATAAAATACTAAGAACACACCAGTGACGGTGATTTCCCAATTTGGTTAGAACAGTAATTGTCGCACGGACGTAAACGCCATATTACGGAGAAGAAAAAGCTATGTTAAGGTGAAAGAAGTTTAAAAGATCTTTTAATAATATCAGGAAACCTATTACTATCCCACTGTCGACTCAAAGATACGGAAACATGAGCCTGACATTCGCTGCTGCTGTGAAGGTTCCGCACGGTAGTCTGGCATTGGCCTGGCATTGGCATTGGCGGTGACTTTGGCACGGGTGGCCGCGTGTCAAAGAGATCGCACGATACCATGAGCACTGCCCGAAGATCGTGTCACGTCATTCTTATGAATTGCCGCTGCATTTCTCTATTAGGCTATTTTACAATTAACAATGGTCAATAATTAATACGAAACAAGACAACTATAATTCGGGGAACAGGCGGAGTGAACCCAAATATAAATCAATAAAGGCGAGTGTTTGTATATTTCCTTATGACATATGGACGACTCCAGAGCAGGGTTGGGGATGGGGCCATGGTCTGATTAATGAGACATCTTGTTACATACACGTTTTACTAGCAGGAAGGAAAGTAAGTAGCTGAATTATAAGTTTCATATCATGAAATTAAAATATAACTTGTGTATTCTTCAAAATTAATTAAAATTTAAAAAGGTTACCAATAGGGCAATGTTACTAATATCTTTAACATGATCCACTCTTTTCACACATGTAGCATGCGCTACTTTTCGACAAGTTCCTTAGTCAGTCCTTTACGTTTATTTACACATGATATGCAAAGGAAATTCACATGTAGAATTCACATTCAAAATGTTATTCGTCAGACGTTTTTGATTACATCAATGGAGGACTCAAAGTGCAGAGGAATCTTGCTATATGTAATACTTATTACAGGCGAGAATCAGCGAAGTTGGAGAGTTGTACCAATTGGATCAGTGCTGTCGGAGGTAATTTTTTTTGTAATTTTGGCAAAAGGATAGTATTGAAAAGAAAAATATACTAAAAGAAAATTGAAATTGATATTCACATTATTTTTCCTTTTTCTTTTTATTCATTATGTTTAGTCCATTCAAATCTTTAGCTTTCAATGGGCATCACATATGGACAAGTAAAATCTTCTGTTGACTGCTTCAAAATACAGAGAAGGGAGGGAAGATTAATTACGTAAAACAGAATTGAGGAGAACAAACGTAAAATTTATTTATGTGCTATGAATATTGAACAAATACACCATCAAAATAATAATATGTGACAAAAACTGGAATATTTTTTTTAAAATAGAACTTGTACGAAACATATTTATTTGTATTTAATACAAGTAATTAATCATATAACGTACACCAAATAAATACACAGAAAAACATGTTAAATTATATACTGTATAAATAATATTTAAAATGTTAAACAAAAATATTTATTCAGCGTTATAGTCCTGAGAGAGACCGCCATAAGATGGTCAAAACGTCCGCATTCGAGTGGTGTCAGCGGGACAGCCGAGATCATTCACATGACTGGCCAGGGAAGCCTTCGACGGCAAAAATATTTATACTTACAAAGAGTTTCAGATTTTTTTCTTTCTGTAAGAACTTCCTTGTTTTCTTATATTCAGAGCTTGTACTGAAACTTAGTACAAGCTCTGAATATAAGAAAATTCAGTGCTGTGGAAGATGACGGTTCAGTTTGCAATTGTGGCACAAGTAACAAGATTCATCCAAACCTTTTTTTATTATTATTTTTTAAATTTGTAGTAATGAAAATATAAAAACCTTTCAGTGCACGTAGAGGTTCGAATTACTGTACAACAAATTTTCTATAGTACACCCCATTTGTAATCCAAGGAATATGTAATTTACTGAATAATTAAAGTTTTAAGCAATGAATAAACAGAATAGATTGCGTCAATGGCGGAACATGAACTTAACAATGGGGCAAAAATGTATTTACTGTTTAAATGTCCATCAACCTATTTGAACATCACAGCAGTAAAGCATAGTATAAGAATAATCTATTTTAATGTGTGTATCTTTTTTAAAGAAGGAAACTTAATTAGAAAACTTTGGCCCTTTCATCTCGCCATTTTCCCCTCCAAGCCCCTTTATTTGTCAAAAAGCGAATACACTAACATATGTAAAAGGTTGATTATATGATTTTAAGGGTTTATTTAGGAACTGTTTCTTTGCTGCAGAATTATATTAGTTTCTCGTGCAGTCCTGCTAGAGAGATCCTATGAGTAGTATATTTGTGATGATTTGGAGGCGCTGCGAGATCATTCGAGATCGAGGGGAACTACTTCTCCAAGTACACGACAAGAAACATGAGGATGCAATATCGAATAAATTATAGAAAGTTTTAGTAATCTGATTCGACGTGATACAGACGATTATTATATATTATTTTTTAAAAAATCGCCTTTACTGTCACGTAGAATCCATTGCGTTATAGAGAATTTAGATCGGGCAAGCCTCGGTCCCCCCCCCCCCCGTCAAAAAACTTTATTATAGAAGCAATATAATACATACGCATATTATTTCAACATGGAAAATATGCTTTTGAGTCCATGTTAAAAATAATCTAATGTGAATCATTTTTCTCCTAAATCTCGCGGGGGCTTCAATTAATTTGTTGCCCCATTGTTTTACTCCTTTACGAACTTTTGACCTCAAGCACGTTATAACCAAATAATAGTGGTCGATTTCCGTTAAAAATGAAATCATCAGAAGCTTCATTTTGTTAGTGATATGAGGTTACTTCTGCTAAGTCTAATCTAGGCTTACTACATCAAGAATTGTCATGAGAAAATAATAATATTGTATTAAAATACCCATATTATATTACAATACCCATATTGTATTATAGTACTAACCGTATGTATAGTAATACCCATACCTGGACGATATGTTTTCGGGCGCTTTGCATCCAAATATAAAAATATTTCGTTTCAAATGGGAAAGACCACAAAAGAAATTATCATTGTTCAAGACTTTTCAAGTTGAATTGATATTTTAAAAAAATCTCAAGGTTGGTTTATGATCTAACTAGGAAAATGTATTTATTG